GACTACTACTACTGCTGCTACTACCAAGTAAAACCGCAGCCACAACGCCTCGAACAACGGATGCTCGCAGATTGTGATGGGGAGGGGCGTTCGCCCACGACCATTATCTTCCTGGGCTTGAAGGATTACTGGCATTGTGACATGAAGTCTTCGACATTCTTCGACTATCGTAATGCGACCTGTCATGTTTATGCATGCAGTTTAATGTTGACACGCCTAGGAAACGGGATAATGATGATGCCCAAGCTCTGACTGAGAGGGAAGCATCTCCTGCCTAGTCCGATGTGCTTCGGCAGCCACTCGCCGCATGGCACGATCGACAGCAGAGAAGCTCTTGAGGAACCTGCGCCGGCCTGTTCTGATCGGCTTCTCTGAGCCTCTTCTTGGCTTCAGGCTGAGTGCCTTCACCACATCCCCTCCCGGAACCGCGGATTTGGAACTGTCCACGGAGCACTGCGACGGCCGTTTCTCTCTTGCAGGAGGCTGAAGGGGCGGCACGAGAGCGAAGGGAGTTCGGGCTTTGGCGCGGAGGCCCTCAAGCATTTCGGTGTGGACTGCAAGCTGCATCATGATCTCCTTGTGTTGTTGCATCAACATCAGCTGCAAGTCGCGGCCGAGGTCGCCGCCATGCAGCCCCACTGACATCGAGACGCCGGGACTTGCTGGGGAAGAGTGCGGCAGCCTGCCAGGTCAAACGAGAAACAAACACTACTCACACTACTCATACTCTGCTTGGCTAGATGGAACCTTTCCAAAACGGTTGTGCCTTTCCGGGGCCGAGGATTCAACTTCTGGGAGTGTAAACGTGGTCTCACAGTCGCCGTCCGTTTCGCGAACGACTCCGTCAACGTCTCCCTTCCTGAGTGTCGCAAGCCGGGCTCAAAACCCGTATGTGTGCGTAGTGCGGGCATTCTTGGCTCTGTGTGTGTACTATAGGGAAGACATAGACTGGAAGCCGGCCACACCCATGGGCACTTTGCAACGGACCGTGACGGCAATTTGGGGGGCTGTTCCAGTCAACGAAATACCCTCCCCTGCATGTGCAAAGGTACACCAGCGCCGGCAGCTAATCACAAGTGTTAATTACTGTCGAGTGAGAATATAATCAGACTGCATGTGCAAAGGTGGCCTACATGAAGCAAGGAAGTTACAGCTACGGTCCGTTCGGAGGCTGGTAACACGACGTGCTAACTCAGTCTCCGCGACATTAGAGTCGTAATGCCGTCCAAACTCGGTATCTGTGTGACTGTATGATACTGCATCGGGACCACGTGTTGTCTTGACTTCAAGGGTGGGGACAGAGCTGAAGTCATTAGACTTGTGTCTAACTTGTCTAGCAGCTTGATCGTACGTATATCCCCACATGACGAGCACGCACGCGCACAGACACACGCGCACACA